TACGGCTGCAGCATACTTTTCCTGATTTCAGTTGGCTACATCGAGATTGCATTACTGACATGAATCACATACAACCTCATTTGGGGTTGCCTTCTACCGTCAAGCCTGGGAATGTTCACTCTTGGGACTTTGGTGGCAACTTGAATGGTCGAGTCGAAACATATCCAAGGCCTTCTTATAACGTGCAGTGTTCTGCTATTGAAAGATGGGGGTATAATTTTGATGTGCCATATTCTTTACCTGAGGGAGCAAAGCATGACTTTGGAAGATGGATGGTGGAAGTGCGAAAAGGAACCTCCAGAGAAGACTTGTATTTAAAGCATGAGAACCACATGAACATCTCGAGTTCAAAGCTGCCAAGGGTGTGGCCAGGGGTGCTGCAACTCTAATCTACTTGTTAAATGCTAGTGAGACTTGGGAATTGTGGTAATGGTATAGGAATCTAAGAGGATGTATGTAGATTTGTGTTCGCCAACACTTTATTGATGTTTTGAGTTATGAAGCTAGCTATGCATTAGTGTATATAGCATCAACTATGCAAGGACTGTTCCTTGCTTAAACTGAGAATCTCATTTGGAGATTATATTTTGGATAAAACAGTTACTACTTCTTTATATCTTGTCATTGTTCTCTCTAGCTCATTTTCGTGCTGCGGCATAGTGAAAGGTGGAAAACAAGATTGATTTATTGTTATTATTATTATTATTATTATTATATGGTAGATAAGAAGGAAAGAGCAGAGAAGAATATGAAGCATGTTTCTTGAAAAGCCCTGTAATCTGACTTGGTGTGCAGAACCGTGTTCTATATTATTACATTAGTTGATCATCTACCGTAGGGTCCACTCATGGTCTGTGCAATCCAAATAATTTTCTCAGTATGAAGGCTATAAAACCACCAAGTCCCCTCTCTGTTTGTATCATCTTTGTTCTCTGCTCGAAAACTCAGTTCATTAACCCGCACCCTCTGCATACTACATACCATACATACAACCTGAAGGTAAGTCCTGTCTTTTCTTTTCCTTTCTTTTTAAGTTTTCAGTAATTTTGAATCTAAGTGCATTTGTATTCATGAATTGTTTGTTAAATTATCACTGGTGCAGCAAAAGAATCACAATACAGAAAGATGATGAAAAAGACTACTTTCTACGCTTGGGAGACGCAGTTTTGTAACCACACTTGGTCGGCTTGCCCCAAGGAGTTGTGAAACCCTACCAAAGCTCCCACTACTTTTGCTTCGACCCTCACCTCCACCATGAGGATGATCAATGGGATTCATTGCCACTCCCCGAACAACCGGCCTGCGACTCAACCACCGACTCTGTCCAGCCTTCCTGAGTTTCAGAGTGCCATGGCTTGGATTTGATACCACACCAACAGTGGCCCTGCATTTGGAGTCAACCCTCTTTTCAGCACCGGAGGGCAGTCTTATTATACGGTAGGTTGCAGTGGGCTCTTTCAGGATCTTAGCAGAAGTCCCTGCAGCTCGAACCAGCTTCCCACCTTGTCCGGGTTCATCTCAATGTTGTGGATGATAGTTCCAATTCGCATGGCACCAAGCGGCATGCAACTTCCAATTTGTGAATTGATGTCAAGATGAAGCAACTCCCTTTTCATGTTCTCAATTAACGACTGATTATTCATGTCAGGAGCAACTGCCAAATCAAAATTCAACAAAGTTTAACAAATTCTCTATTCTCACCATTACAAAACAAAAAAAGCTTCATTCTTTTCCAAATAAGAGACGAGAAAAATTCCAAAAAAAAAAAAAATTCTTCCATTTTCTCAGCTGCCAATCAAATATTTGAAAATTTTTGTTTCGTTTTATATCCCAATTTCCTAGTACCCAATCAGGAAATACAAATCAAAAACCGCACCAAGCTTCCCACAATTGAAAAAGAAAAAGAGAGAGAATCGAATGATATGAAAAAAAAGAGTACCGGCAGAGGGGAAGCTGCGATGCGCAGTGTTAGCAATGGGGGAGGGGCAGATGAATGGGCGGAGGAGCCTCCATGCAGCAGCGCGACTCCGCCACAGAGCCATATAGTCTTTCACTTTCTTTCTCTCTTAGTTTTCGACTGTTGCAAGGGATTTTCGCTACCGCCTATCTCTGAAGTCAGTACCTTCGGGTTTGGGAGTGAGGGGAGAGGAAGGAGTTCAGGATTTTGCCCCATTCGGCCCAATAATTCTGGACAGCTCGAAAAGTTAAGCAATCGTTTGTTGACTGACTGTAGCACTTGGTTGATTTATTTAGCCCAATAATTCTGGATTTTAAAGGACGATCTCTGTCATAATTCAAATTTTAATAGAATTTTATTTTTATTTTAACTAATATATTTTGTCTTTGTTTTACTTGTTAGGTTCATTCAAAAAATGGGGGCAAAAAGGAAATTTTACGAAGAAGATTGGAAAAGAAGATGAGAAAAAGGACTCAATTGAAAAAATGGAAAGTTAGAGGGGTGAAATGCAAAGTCTAGCCCAAAACCTATCAAACCCAAACCCAAAACCCATCACTACCCAAACCCAATTACCCAAATCCCATTTAACCCAAACCCAAAAACAAAAAAAGAACAAAAAAAAAAAAAAGAGAAAAAGAAAACAAGAAAAAAAAAAGAAAAAAGGGGAAGGCATCGGGAACTTTCCCCTTCCCCCATCATTTTTTCATTTTCCTTCTCCCTTCTGAACCAGCCCTGCCTAGCCTTGCACCAGCCCGCGCCCAACGACCCCCACGCACTGCGCCCGCGCCCCCATCAATTTTTTTCATTTTCCTTCTCCCTTCCGAACCAGCCCTGCCTAGCCTTGCACCAGCCCGCGCCCAACGCCCCCCACGCACTGCGCC